TAGGCTTTAGCTGGACTCTGCAGTGGCTCTAATATCGGCTGAGATATACACTTTTCTGACTTAAGGTTATCGTGGTATTCTCCAGGCACGCCTGAACACGGTTGCTTCGTCTTGGTTTATCTCACATTGGTACCCTGATGTTCTACCAACACCAGTTTTAGAGTTAAAGTATGGCATTACTATTGAAATAACTCCATTGAGCAGCTCAGATAGTCAAATTCCTCATGTTTTATGGAACCCCTCCCCACCGATCCCTGTCGTCAGCTAGAGGAATCCAACCCACATCTTCCAACGCTGCATCTGTAAGATCTATCTTAATGTTATCTTCCCTATGTGTTCCGAGTTACTTTCCATCCAAAATTTTGTACGCGTTTATCATCTTTGAAATGCGTGCTACGTGCCTGGTCTATACCAAACAAGGTCAAATGAACTGTGGGACGAAATTTGGCAGGTGGCAGAAATCTCTCAACAAATGCATCTGACTGACTTACGTGTTTGTGTTTGCAGATCGCGTACCCATTCGCTGTCCGGGTCACTTGCAGTGTCCGTTGAACCCAGAACCTCTGTGTTCGGACTACGACTTCATGATGGACTGTTGTTGCTAAAATACTGCACCGACAGTTTTACAAAAAAAACTAATTTGGGTTTCAATTTTGAAGAAAAAAAAATGAAATGTAAGAAATATAAGGACGACTGATTTTAATTGCAGATGTAAATTTCCATATTAGACCTGCATCCGAAAATGACTTATGTATTTGGAGACAATAAAACATGGCAAATTTATCAATTTTCATGAACCTTTAGTGATGTGTATTTTCGTTTGCAGCTGCGAGATTTGTTACCCGGATGAATATCCTCGCCTTGTTCACTCGTATTTGTGAATGAACATTTTCCCACTGGCGAAAGGAGACGCCTGACGGGGGTCCATCGAGTGGGAAAATTTTTCTTCTTAATCTAGGCCACTTCGCACTGGCACAGTTACAGCCCGGAATCGGGTTCTTTATCCGGAATAAAGCGCGGAAGGATTTGCA